TCATAGTAACATTGGTGCAGTTAGTATAGGTGAGCTTGGACACAATCTACTTTATCATACCCGGAAAACCCGGAAAATGTAACACTGAATTACCATTCTACTCGTAACTTTAATGTTGCACCTAAACCCCTAAACCTAACCAACCTCTTCCCTTCTGACAATGTGTTTTACTGATACTGGTGTGTGTGCGCTAACATTAATGTGCAACAAAATACCAGATCTGCACTCGTTTCTCACGCGGACATTGTCCTAACCTGCCCACTCCAATGGCCTGGCACACTACATTACAGTTACACTACAGCTGTTCATCAGATTCTGATGTGAGGGGGGGACTCTGATGTGAGGGGGGGACTCTGATGTGAAGGGAGGACTCTGATGTGAAGGGAGGACTCTGATGTGAAGGGAGGACTCTGATGTGAAGGTTGGGACTCTGATGTGAAGGTTGGGACTCTGATGTGACTGGGGCTCTTGATCTGAAGGGGGGGGGGGGGCTGATGTGAAGGGGACACAATCATATACTGGGGAGCCTGAAGTTTTTACATACTTTTAAAGGGTGCCCCGACTAAAAAAAAGCTTGAGAAACGCTGCAATAACTATATACAGCCATATCTCAGCATGGAGCAGGCTATGGAGGATTCTGATGTCTATTTTTTTTTTTTTCCTTGGAGTTCAACTTTGATTTGACAGGAACTGAACTGCTGAGATTCCCTACTAAAGCAGCACTCCTCTTTTTTTTTTATATAACACTGAACTAATCAGCAGCTGACATAAAGTGTCCACCAACTCCGGTGTCTGTTCTATTCTGAAGGAATAGATCAAATTCTGCTCACGGAACCCTCAGATCCTCCAAGCACACACAGAGGTCATTTACCTCTATGACCCCTACAGATGCCATCCCATCCAAAAACTCCAATATTGAAAATCAATCGCCCATCTGAGTCCTGTACTTGCAACTGTGAAGAATCAATCGAAATCTGACAAAATTTTAAAATTGATTGATTTAAAATCTTTGCCTGTTTGGTCTTCAAATAATTTAAGCTGAATATATATATATACGAAGATCAATGAAATTGACAACTGTGCCTGCTTACCAGAATTTTTATATAATGGCAGAGCGTGTGTGTGTAATATCCATTTAGGACATCCATCCCTACCTAACCTTTCACCCCGCCGCCCATAGCCTACCTAATAGACCACCGTATCGGTGACGGACCGCCTGGTACCCCGACTGGGTACCTCCGTCAGAAAACAGCTTCCTCTCTGCTGGAACCTGAATTCCAATGTGCCCAGCCCAAACCTGCCTAATTATTGGACGGAACCAATATATTAGAACAGAAAGCTAAACTCCTCAAACATCAGACAACACCAATGTTGAGGTGGAAACCAAGATCTGCTTTATTGAAAACCAGCTCAGTATCTATAGAGTTCTGGAAGTCTAAAAACATAACGCAATCAAACATGATCAGCATGCAAACAGCCATCCCCTCCCCCTTTCCGATGCCTTAATGAATAGGGAGAGAGGAGACACACGTGATGGGATTAACTCCTGAGTGCATCATATGGTAATCTACTCATCTACACCTGGAGTCAGCTACTCCTAGAGTCAGCTATCTTAATCCCATCATCAACACAATACAACAAAGGGACAAATAAACTGTAACAAGTTCAATGTCCAGAATTATCCCCCTTCAGTGCTCGTGGATTCACAGCCTGTACCTACACGGTCACTTAAATGTAATGCCAGGAAAAATATGCAGTATATCCACTCCACACATAAACCTGGGATAATGGTTGTAACCCCAAGAGGTCCGAGGGGGGTCTCCACAGTCCTGGGTCCATAGTCAGTAGGAAGGAGGCTAGCCCTCAAGCTCCTCCAGCAGCCCCAGTGACGGTTCAGTCCGTCACAGTACCTACCCATTCTTTCTGCTGTTTATAGCCTACATAATAGACCTACCCTTTCTCTTTACCACCTATAACCTACCTAATATACCTACCCTGCCTAACCTCTTCCTCTCTGCCATCTATAGCCTACCTAATAGTCCACCCTACCTACCCTTTCTTTCTGCTCTCGATAGCCTACCGAATCGACCAACCCTACCTACTCTTTCTCTCTGCCACTTATAGCCTACGTAATAGACCTACCCTATCTAACCTTTCTTTCTATCACCTACCTAATAGGCCACCCTACTTACCCTTTCTCTCTGCCACCCATAACCTACCTAATAGACCGTCCCTACCTAACCTTTCTTTCTGCCACCCATAACCTACCTAATAGACTTACCCTACCTACCCTTTCTTTTTACCACCTATAACCTACCTAATATACCTACCCTGCCTAACCTCTTCCTCTCTGCCATCTATAGCCTACCTAATAGTCCACCCTACCTACCCTTTCTTTCTGCTCTCTATAGCCTACCAAAGCGGCCAACCCTACCTAACCTTTCTCCCTGCTGTCTATAGCCCACCTATCTACTCTTTCTCTCTGCCACCTATAACCTACCTAATAGACCTACCCTACATACCTTTTCTCTCTGCCACCTATAACCTACCTAATAGACCTACCCTACATACCTTTTCTCTCTGCCACCTATAACCTACCTAATAGACCTACCCTACATACCTTTTCTCTCTGCCACCTATAATCTACCTAATAGACCTACCATGCCTACCCTTTCTCTCTACCACTATAACCTACCTAATAGACTTACCTGCCTACCCTTTCTCTCTGCTGCCTTTATATAAGCCTGCTGTACCTAGTAGAAAATGTTGCCCACTTTGTATTAAAGACCCCGACACATTGGATACCCGGTCATTACAAACAGTAACCAGAGCAATTTTCTCCTTGGTACAAATGTCTGCAATTTGCAATCAGCCGAGCGTGACAACTTTTGTATTTTCCTAACACTGAGAGTCAAGTGACTGAACTTGCAACCTTTGGGTAATCTTCGGTTTGTTTGTCAGCTTCACAGAAAGCATTGTTTGTGTTTGTGAGGCCGGATTGGAGCGTGCCCTACGGTTTTCATGGTGACAGCTGTGAGCACACATGTGAGGGAGTATATATTGGGGCACAAAGCCTTGAGATGTCACAAACCTCCTCCAGCTTTACAATGGCAGCCTACGCAAGCATCCTCCTTCTGGCCGCTCTCTGCATAGGGACAGGTAAGAGACCACCGACTTCTTATCGCCAGTAATTCGTATTGCGAGATTACAGCGTATTTCAGGGTGAAGACTTGGGTGATTGATTTTTCAATATTGGAGTTTTTGGGTGGGATAGTATCTGTAGTGGTCATAGAGGTAAATGAACTCTGTGTGCCTGATCCAGCCATCCCGGATCGCATACTTATGCAATCCGGGCTGGCTGGATCTAATCAGGCACTGTAGAGGACCGCCCGCGGGGGCCTCCTGAGGTCAGCCTTGAGGAGCGAGCGGCCGCAGAGTACAGAGCCGCATATGTAGCGGTGCAAGTGGCAGAGAGGCGGCGGAGGGAGGGAGCCACTGCACCGGCGGCCAGAGGCTTCTTTTAGTGGGGGCCAGTGACGGGCCTCCTGACGGCCACGGGCAGGGGCCATTTTTAAAGGCAGCAGAGAGGCCCCGGGGGGCAATTGCCACCCTGCCCCCGGCCCAGTTCGCCCCTGCATACCTTATTTCTCTTTTCCTCCCCATTCTACTCACAGCGGCCATTTTTTACTAAGGGCAGATGAACCCATCTCCCTTTACTCCCTGGAACTCTGGCACATGTGACTAGGACATGTGATCATCTCAGGGGAGGAAAATGCCTTTCCCTGAGAACTCGTGAGATTACAGATGAGATTTACCAGCAATGCTCTGCTGATGTAACCTTCCCAGGATGCAATGCTTGGGCACAGATTACATCATTTGTGCCAAAGTGGACCAGGAAGTGGGAAAAAAAAGAAATTGTAAGAAAAATTAAAATATGTTTGTTTATCTAATGAATATAAGTGTCACGTTCAGCAAGCGGAATAGGGTGGAGGATCGCAGCTGCGGAACTCTTGTGGTACGGCCTATGGGATTGGGTCAGATAGACGGTTCCCTAATACACTGAGTGTGATAGGGAACCGTTCCACATCATGTATCCCGGCCTATATCGAGAAGAGTATGGGTACCCTAAGGGTTATCAATCTAATAGTCTGCTACGTGCAGCTCTGGGGAGTGATGGGACTGTAGTTCCTAAAGGTACACCCCGCACTACTGAGCACCTGGTAAGGGATGAGGCGTACAGGTAATCGAGGTGATTTGAGTAGTTCCTATATTCCACAGCGGGCACAGAGATAGGTATATGCAGATTATCACAGGTATCCTATGCAGGCATGTATGCAAAACACTTTAGTATGATCAGGTAATGCAGTCCCAGCACCAGAATCTTGATTACTAATAGTTCCAGTAGTCTCCAGCAAGTGGTTAACAGCCCTGTATGGTTTACATCACAGTATGATCAGGCAATGCAGTTCTAACGCCAGGAGATAGGGGGAGAGCCCAGTACTTGCGGTTTTGTGGAGAGAATGCTACTGCTGCTATGGAGTCCTCAGTGGTCTGCAGTATGAGAGAGATTAGATGGGGGTGACGGTTGCGTCCCTGAGGGTGGTTTGCTGCTGGCAGGAAGCCTGGTTCAGAGGAGTGCGGGGAGACCTCGCTCGACGTTCCTCATTGACAGAACGCTGAGTGAGTGTTTCCGCCGTGACGTCACGGCCGAGACGGCGCGCCGCAGGAGAGGACGGACGCGCCGGGTGAGTCTCTGACAATAAGATTATTCATATCAGCATCAGCTGTATGCTGATGTGATTTCTTTTTGTGAAAGGGGGTAAAGGTCCGCTATAAATAGGTAGTATGTACATAGCAAACCATGTGTGTATATAATAATAAGTATATAGTCACACATTTAATATCCATAGAAAACTAATACTAAAAGTTCCTTGTAAATCAATAACCACTAAAAAACACTATTCGTATTGCATGCGCCGACCAATAAATGTTGCACCACAGTGATTGAACATTGTCATATTAAGTAAACTTATCAAAGAAAAACAAAAGAAAAGAACGTTGTTATCTTGGTGGTTATATTACTTGGATTAGGATAACGTTAGTAGTTTTATCAGCTGTTATTGAAAGGTGGAGTCATCCTTTAACTTCTTCTGTTTCAGCCTATTCCCTGCAATGTTACACCTGCACCGCTGCATCCAGCAACAGCAACTGTCAGACGGCGACTAACTGCACATCTGGACTAAACTACTGCGAAACGGACGTAGCATCTGCTTCAGCCGGTAAGATTTGCTCCATCCCTTTATCACAACACCAAGGACAAAGAGCACAGATCAACTCTTAGCCCTCGTTCACACCTAGGCGTATTACATATGCGCGTCTGTCGCGCGACCGTCGCGCGTTTCCGAAGGCTACTTGGCTGTATCCCAATAGAAACGCGCAAACAAAACGGCCCAAAGTAGTACCTGTACCTTTTCAGGCGTGGGCCGTTTTGTAGCGCGTTAGGGACGGGCGGAAATACGCCAAGGTGGGAACGAGACCCATTGACTACAATGCAATTTATATTTTTGACCGTTTTGTAGAGCGTTCGTCGAGCGTAGAACGCGCAACAAAACGGTCAGATGTGAACGAGGGCTTAAAGGTGCCCATACACCTGCCGATTATGGCACGATAATTGCGGGAAATCCCGCGATCATACGATAATCGGCAGGTGTATGGAAGGCGCGCGACCATTTCTATTGTACGGTCGCACGTCTTTTGTCTCCCGAGCAGGCTTGAAAACCCGCCAAGAATCGTACGATTTATCGGCGGGTTAGTGGCGTTCTCGGGGAGACAAATGCTACACGGGCCGGTGTGCACACGCGCACACTGCCCGCTCACCATTGCAGTCATTGAAAGCCCCCCCCCCCCCTCAGCGGGGAGGGCTTTCGATAATCGCAAGTACGATCTGCCTGTCCTGCCTGGATTGTATGTGATACATTGTGCCGAGTGTATTTGTGGGCCATTTTGGGTTTTTTTCACTGCCTGGTAAAGAATTTGTTGTTTGAAAATGCGTAGCAGGGGTTATGTTGTACAATAAAGTTCTGTTTTTATAGTGTTACAAGCTGGACTGCCCATTAGTAGAGGTGCACGGAAATGGAAATTTTAAAACCGAAACGAAACCCAAATAAAAAAAATTGTCAGGCCGAAAACGAAAATGTTTTTTATTTACATTTTTTCAAATTTTTCAAATATTTTATTTTTATTTATGAATTCATTTTTTATTCAATATTTTTATTTTTTACTTTACTTTTAGGGGCTTCGGGGAAATATTGGGGGATCTAAACAGACCCCTGATATTTCCCTTTTAAAATAGAAAAAGAGATTTAGGACACAAAGTCCTCAGAGACACACCGAGTCCTCAATCTCCTGTTACAAATGAACAGGAATCCTCTATACTGAGTGTTCCTGATCATTCACAACATGAGGACAGAGTATGTTTACTATAACCACAACTATGAATGATCAGGAAGTGGTGTAGATGTGATGTAGATCACTTCCCATATATTCATTAGGTGCATCCCTACCCATTAGCATTGTACATGTGTAATAAAAGTTTATGAGGCATTACCAAAGCAGGAAAATATCACACTCATGGACAACGATGGGGCATATTTGGGTTATTTTCAATTCATATTAATAGAGATCTTGTTCAGCTGTTTCTGTTCTATTTGTTATACTCCCAGAGGCATGGCCAGGCTCAGACCTTCTCTTAAGATAAAAACAAGAGCTTGGCAGTAGCCAATGAGCAGCTGATTCTGGGGGTTCTGGCCAAAGGCTGGGTCACTCAAGCAGTCCAGTGCTCCTAGGTCAGTTTGTGCCCATATATTTCTGCTGCTGTTTTGTGATGGACTGGGACTTTATACACCGTGTGTTGGTCTTCATCCCATAGAACAGAAAGGCCAGCAGTCCATAATGAGCCTCCGTTGTTTATTGGAGGGCTCAAGAAGACAGAAAAAGTGCTAAAACTATGTTCCTGCACCTGACTCCCAATGTCTGCCAGCCTCATGGGGAAGTAAAATACTCTCTCGCATCCAACAGCCTACAACCAAAACCAACCAAATTACTCTAGAGCAATGCTTTTACCATCTATTGTTGTAGTGGGTGCACATCAGGCACTGTATATAGACAAAGTGATGTGAACGCTACCACCGATAAGTAGGCTGACACCATAATTGCCCCTTTCCCATGATGCCCCTTCATTGTACTGAAGACATTCCCCTCATCTGCCTTCACCTTGTCCCAGCCTTTTTGAGCCTCCTGGACAGATGGGCTTAAAGCTGACGTGCCCTATGGTAGGTGCCGGTCTAATTACACTGTCACATCACATCCAAAGTATAATGTTCTTGTAAGGAATGGTTTTGGTAGACCCTGACACAACATACAGTAGTTCAGGGTACATTTTTCTGATTCAAAAGATTGAAATCTTTTTTATTTTCACAGTAGAATGGAAATTTAAGCAATAAGAGTCAACATTATTACATTAGATATGCTGTTAAATGAAGCCCTAAAGTGACCTGAAATTCATGGAGGTCTCCAATGACACAGGAGGACAGTCAGATATAAAGCCACAATCTGACTGCATACATGCATTGGTCTACATAAATATGTACGCCCCAGCTGAGTATATATGTTTATGTTATGAAGGACTGAGATTAGAGGAGCCCATGGTTCTCCCACCGTGCTTATCATGAGGGAAACAGCAAGGTTTTCAAAACAGTTTCTTGTCTATAGGACCAGGCTTTTGCTGCAACCTTACATAAGAGCTCATTGACTCATCAAAGCAAAAACCGGTCACTGCTATCTCACGGCTTTGGCTTGTATTAGGATTCACTGTTATTTCATGTGAAAGCAAGAAACCTTAGAAACATAACTCATCTGGCCAATAGAAAGGTCTTATACTTACCTACTTTAACGACCCCCTTGTGACCCCATTGGAGGAATGGGCAAATTATAGGCATCACACCAAAAAAAATATATTTTTTCTCACATATTAGGAGGGGAACCCCCACCATAGTTTGGTCTAATATGTCATAGATTACACACCAGAGCCAATCTACCTCAATGCTAGAAATGTATATTGCTGAATCAATAAAATAGATGTTTCATTTTAAAGTAAGGCTTTTACAAACCCCCGTGTCAAAACACTCACTGGATCCAGAAAGATAAAATCTTATAGTTTAATGTGAAATCTGATGATTGCCCCCTTTCTCTAGCTTCCTGATTCTGTCAGTTGAGGCAACCCATTCCATTAAGGGACCTCCAGGAAGTCTCAGGGATGAGCTTGACCCACACCAGAAAAGTCAGGACTGCACACACTGCCAGTAACTCCGACTTTACCAATCACTTTGACATGTGGTTTTCCATGGAAGGTCACCTCTGTTCATGCATTTTTCCATCATACACTTAACTTGAATTGGTCAGGTATGTGACAGGTTCACTTCAACAGTTACAATGTTTCCACATGTTAAGTAATCAATTAATCCCAGTTCCAACTTTCATTGAAGAAGGATATTATACTGGAAATTAAAGGTTTTCCCATTTGTCCCCTCTTTCTGTAGTTGGAATTTCTGTAACCACCATAACCAAGTTTTGCACCTCCAGCTGCACGCCAACCAGCACCAGCTACTATGTGGGCTCAACTTCCACGTCCTGCTGCTCCACTGACCTGTGCAACACCAGCGGAGCCATCAGCATCAAGTCCACCTATTCCGCCATTTTCCTGGTGCTGGGAACCATTGCCATGCTCTTCAGCAGCTCCCTTCTCTGAAGTATGGTGTGAGATAATGCATTGCCCTCCTGCACCAATAAACATGTAATATAAAAGCCTCGCATCGTGTGCCTGTTTCTTGCAGTCTTTATAGAATTGTTATAGTGTTGGATAGCAGGCATCTCCATATGGTGGCTGTTTGACGTTACACATGGCTTTGTGGAAAAAAAAACACCTATGATGCCATTTCTTCCTTATAAGTACTTCTACGTACGGCCTGATTTTAATGACATCCCAACAAAAGCGCTATATTTCTTTCACAAAGTTCTCTTGATCTTAAAGGACACTCAATTAGATTACAAGTGTGTAGATGTCAGGGGCGGTTTACCTAAGACAACACAAAAATTCTGTGTGCTTTAAAAAAAATTGATAGATCAGCAAAAAACTGAAGTAGACCTTGTAGGTAGTGTACGAGTATGAAGCTTCTGGTGTCTGAATCATTAATTTAGTATCAAGTTGCATTGATCCTGTGTCATTTGAGGTTTATAATTGGGAGAAAAGCGCTAAAATAATTGGCCGGTCATTAGGTATAGTTGGGGCCCGGTGATCTGGATCGGGTCCTGGTTCCTCATAGCCATTGTGGGTTAGGACTGCTGGATCCCAGAGTATTCAGTCAGCTATAAAGGACTCTATAAAGTGCACATATTACAGAAAAGTCACCCTCAGATCAAAAAGCCAATAGGTGGTATACCTTAATTAGATGGGCATTTGCCACCGTGCCCCCGATATCTTTACCGAAGAAGCTGGTTTTCTGCACATAATTTGGGAATATCCTGCAGTTTGGCCCTCCCACTTTTTTAGGTAACAACACCAGTAGGCCGCTATGGTGTATACTGGGTCACTGTGGTGAAATAATCATCCCCTCCCCATTGAGATCATTGATCATACTGATGTTGTTTTATGCCAAAAAAGATTGATATCTATTAGAGATGTGCACCGGCAAAACATTTGTTTAGTTTTGTTTCATTTTCATTCAGATTTTGCGTTTTTCAGAATTCGGACGAAATTAGTTAGCGGTAGTCTGTACGAATATTAGTTTGTGGACGAACTTTCGTTGCAGCAAAGTGACAGAGAATAAACAAAAATACCTTTTTTTTTATTTTTACAGTCTGCAGAAGAGGAAAAAAAAAAAAGTGTGAGGTCCCCCCCCAATTCATACAAGACCCTTTAGGTCGGGTAGGAATGTTAGGAGGGACCCTCCACAAAGTTAAAACAAACAAAAAAAGTGTGTGGGGTTCCCCCCAAAATCCATACCAGGCCTTTTAGGTCTGGTAGGAATTTTAAAGAGGAAACCCAGCCCCAAAAAGATGGGGGGGAAAAATGTGGGGTTCCCACATAGCATTCCCACCAGACCCTTGATCCGAGCACAGGCCTGGCAGGGCAGGAAAGGGGGGGGGGGGCGATCGAGCACCCCCCCTGAACCTTACCAGGACACATGCCCTCAGCATTGGGAGGGTGTCCCCATGCTGATGAGGACAACGGCCCATATATTTCTGCCGGGTCTGCGGGCAAGGGGGCTTATTTGCACCGGGTACCTCTTTAATTAAGGGGCACCCAGATGCCCCCCCCTTGTGAATTAGTAATTTCTGTCATTCGGAAATATGGATACAAGTGTCAATAGGCAGGAAACATATATAAAATCACAACCACACAAATATAATCATGAAGTATTTCATGTCTGAACCTCCTACCAGTAGATGGGGAGGGGGCGGGTACAGCTGGCTCCGCCTCTAGATAGGCAGAGCCAGCTGTCACTCACGCAGCTGGGTGGATCCAGACATAATTGTCGGGGGTCCGTTTCAGCTGTGGCATCTCAGTATATAGGGAGCTGTAGCTTGCGGTATACTGAGCCTAGGGTGACGGGAGGACGCTAGTTTGTGTCCTCCCGTTACCCTAAGGAGAACTATGGGGAAAAGACTTAACCCCATAGTTCTCCTTTGAAGAAGAACTATGTGGTTAGTGCTTTTCCCGCATAGTTCTCCCAGGAGGAGACAAACTAGCGTCCTATCGTCACCCAAAGCTCAGTATACCGCGAGCTACAGCTACAGCGGTATACTGAGACGCCGCAGCCGGGATGGATCCCGACACTGTCGAGATCCACCCAGCTGCGTGATTGACAGCTGGATCTGCCTATCTAGAGACAGAGCCAGCTGTGCCCTCCCCCGTCCATTCTGCCAGTCAGCGCTGGAGGATCGGGGAGAGGGGGAATCCCTGTAGGGAGCCGTGAGTGACAGTCACGGCTCTCTGCAGGGACAGGATCGAGAAGTGATCTACTGAGCCGACCTGTGACAGTCTCATTGTCACACGTCGGCTCGAACCATGAGGCTGAGTGGTTTTCACTCACCTCATAGGTCTCCTTTCAATGATGTCTCTTAATCCGATCTTCTTTCCTGATGTTTTCATCTGTCCCTCCAGCGGTGCGGCGGGTCTCTGATCCAGCGCTGACTCCTCTCTGCTTGCTGGCACTTCCTGTCCCACGGTGTCTGCATGCGGGTGCACGCCGTCCATAGACTTACCTTGCGTCTCTGCTCGTCTACCGGCCGAAAATCTGAACTGCGCATGCTCCCGCCCCAAGATGCTTTGCGGCCGCCCGAGGATCTTCACATTTTCAGAACGGGAGCGCGCGGCGAAGACACAGGTACGCTTTTAAAGCGTTTCTTTAAAAAAAAATTATGTTTTTGCATATATCTACTGCTTGCTAGCCTTCTTTGATGTTGGGGAGCTCACAGAGCGCTCGCACATCGCTTTTCCATTAACGAAAAGTCTTTATTGGTCATTCAACAGCAGATACTCAAGGAAGCTCAACATACAATAGCTTGTCTTCAGCAGAATACATATATGGGCTCACCAACCACCGAGTTGTTCCATACACTCACGGTGTCTAAGTCTTTTAACAGTTCTCTCTTGCCGCACTGCTGCTCCGGCCTCAATCTTCAGGGCCACTGTCTGGTTCCCCAGACAATCTCAATAACGTGCCAATCCTCACCATAGGCTTCACAAACCTGCAGCACTGGCCTGGACACTGACTCCTGGGTGGAGCTCTCCTGTCTACAAGGTGTGGGCCCTGAACATCAGCCAGCACCCTTTTTAGGCCCCGTTCCCACTGCGCGATATGCAAATCGCGCGTTTGTCGCGCGATTTGCATATTGCGCGACATCGCGAGATTTGCCGCGCGATGTCGCGTTCAAGCTTGCATTGAGCAAGCTTGAATCGCGGCTAAATCCGCTCCAAAAAGGGTCCTGCTGTAGCGACACACGACCCGCGACAGCAGGACCCTTTGCCCCATTGGATTGCATTGGAGCGCGATATCGCGCGGTAATTTGCAGCGATATCGCGGGAATTACCGCGCGATAAATCGCTCAATGTGAACGGGGTCTTATAAGGGCTGTGCACAGGTGTGCAATCATTTGGTGCTGGTCACCACTAAAGCCTGGACCCAGGAATTGAGATTTCTTCCCTCCCAGTTCTCTTAGAAATCTCCCGGCTCCAGGATCCCAACTATAATCCAGAAAACCCGGAATGAGTTGTAAAACCAGCTCTTTCCTGGTAACAGTAAATTTCCTGGAGCCGCTCAGCCCCTCTTGCTGGGAGTCCTGGGTGACTTTGATGCCACATTATACCGTGGTATTGCCACGCAATGCCACACCTTATATATATGCAAAAACCCCGGAGGGTTTAATAACCCTTTAAACAAGATGATAATGATCCACTTTAGTCACACCTACACAAAGCATATGGACGTCTTTCAATTCAGTATTCTTTTGAATTAATAAAAAAATGTATCCGGGTGGGACTCTGATGTGAAAGGAACCCCACGTGGTTCCAAAAGCTTGAGAAACACAGCAATAAATACATAGAGCCATATTTCTGGTCACCAAGAAAAACCTGTTTCCCAATTTTAGATCATAATTTCCTTTTGCGTTGGTGAAACCAGCTCAACCTGGTGCCCCGAAAAGTATTTTAAATGTCACAGGTCTTACAGAATAAATGACTGACGTGTCACCATATACAGCATATATTATTAACCAGTTGACATCCGCGGTGTTACACCCCCTTCCCATCCAGGCCATTTTTCAGTATTCAGCGCTGCGGTACTTTGACTGACATTTATTCCGTCATGCAGCGCTGTACTGAAATGAATTTTATACCCTTTTTTGGGGACAGATAGAGCTTACAGGGCCGGATTTGCCACAAGGCCACCGAGGCCCGGCCTCAGGGCAGCAAGGAGCAGGGGAGCGGCATGGGTGTAGAATCCCCCTGCGGCTGGGACATGCAGTTCCAGGCGCCGGGCGGTAAATTGTTTGCTACATTTAGCCCGGCTTTGGGCTAAATGTAGAGCGAGGAAGCCAGTCGTTTGTTTACAAGTGATCTCAGCAATGTCACCAAGATCGCTTGAAATGAGATTGCAGCCTGTCCGTCCTATCCCCCCCGCCTCTGTCCTCTGGCCACTGATGTCTTCAGGATGGGGAGCGGTGAGCAGAGCGGCAGGGTTCAAACTAACCCTGCCGCTCCGTGTAGACAGTGAGAGGGGAGAGCAGTGCTGTGCTGTGCTAGAACTCCTGTATTGGAGGTGACAGGGTCAAAAAAGAGAACCTGCCACCTCCAAATGATAGCGATAAAGTTAAGTTTAAAAAAATTGATTAAAAAAACAATTAAATAAATTAGGGCTGCGGAAATTAACGATTAATTACCCGATTAATCGTTAACATTTTTGATCGATTAAAATTCTTTTGATCAATAATGAAAACACTCGCCTCTCCGCCGGCTTCCGGGTCTTCCGGGAGTCCCGCCGGAGATCCGGTGACGTCACTGGACTCCTCCCCCCTTCCCCAAGTGGCTCCGTCGGCTAACGAAGGGAAGAGGAGTGCGGTGACATCGATGTCTGTGACGTCACCGGACTCCTCCCCCCTTCCCTTCGTTAGCTGACGGAGCCACTTGGGCCGGTGATCTGTCGACACGTATCGAGTTCTGCGACCGCCTGACTTCCGGTTTCATTAAATCTAAGAGGTTTGCCCAAGAAACTTGTTCAACACGAGCG